AAAGAAGGCACAAAATGAAGACTCTCGCTTGATTGTTGCTGAGAATTTCACTCGCAATACTTCTGCTCACAATGGCTCTTATCTAGTTAAAGAGTCATCGAATCAAAGCCCGCCGGCATTGACGAAAAGAGCTCGTCAGAGACAACGTCAACGCCGTGCTCGCCAAATGGCTAAAGCCTTGGAACAAACCGACGGGGTTCGTTACCACGCGGACCTAGAGTCGAGGAGACATCGAGTGGTTCAGTTGTCTCAACAACCAATCACTCGTATCTCTGCTAAAACAACGACGGATGAATGGACTATTGTCAAAAAGACTCGTTCGACCCTCAAAGAACGTATACAAAAACGTCGTGCAAAAGCTGCTAATGCCCATGCTCTCTCACAACAAAGACGAGAAAAGAGAAAGGAAATGGTGACCAAAGAATCACCAAAACTTCGTCAAGTTTGGATTCCAAAGTCTGGACTTATGCAAAATCAGCATTCGGAGCCCGTTAAGACTCCATACCCACAAGGGGGTGGTTCTAAACGTGCGACCCCCGATATAACCTTGGATCGTTTAAAGGCAACAATAAATTGTCCTGAGAATGCCAACAAGGTTTTATACTCCCAGAAGAAGACGCATTCACCAAATGATATCGTCATACCTGGGAGATCATACCAACAGACGATACGATTTTTTGGCAATCATACCGATGAATCGTATTATCAAATTGGGGGTGTGAATAAATTTCGAAAAAGAATTATTCGCTCTCATTGTTCCTGTGCACGACTTATAAGATCAGCTGTCCAAGATGATGAATTCCCTGAAGTTACCATCAACGTGGCTGATAAAAGAAAGTCTAAGCGGCATTCAAGTGACTCAAATCCTGACTTTTCCCCGAGAGGAAGAGTCAATCCAAGAATTGCTCAAAGGATGTCTCGACTCCAATTAGGAGCCATCAGACGCAGAAATTACAAGAGAATGCAAGAAGGAATGTCCTCGGAGGATGAATTCTCGGACACTTATTCTGCAATTGCTTCTGATGATACAATGTCTAGCACAGGACAAACCAGAGAAGTACTCACGATCACCTCTGATCAATTTGCTCAAATACTTCAAGAAGCTCTAGCCAAACAGATACAATGTCTAGCACAGGACAAATCAGAGAAGTATTCACAATCACTGCTGATCAGTTCACTCAAATACTTCAGGAAGCTCTAGCCAAACAACGTGAAGAAATTAGAGCTGAAGTGAAGACAGAAATGAAGTTGGCTATCCAACAAATGAGAGAACTGTTAACTCAACAGCCTCAACCTCCTGAGTCCAATCAGCGACTTGAATCCAGCCACCACACTCGGAATGTTGTAGAGGACAGTGATCCAGAGGTGGATGAAGTCATTATGGCTGATACACCTCCCAATAGCAATAACGCTGGGGGTGGTTTAACACATTCTCCCAATAACGATATTGGGAGTGGTTCAATGGCACCTCTTACAGGGGGTGGTCTAACTCATTCTCCTCAACGTCATTCGAATGAAGACATAGACGATGACGGGAAAATGAAAGAGCTTGAAAACAAAGTCAACGCTTTGATGACGGCTCAAGAAGTGAAAAAGACGGGTATTCCATGTCCCTATCCAAGTGAATGGAATTCAATACCGTATCCGTCAAAATTCAATCTGATTAACTTCACACCGTTTGACGGGAAGAGCGCGCCTACTCAGCACTTGATTTATTTCAAGTCTCATTTGGACATGATCTCTGGAAATGAGGCTTTAATGGTCCGGTCATTCGTTGGCACCCTTCGTGAGCCCGCCTTTGATTGGTATCGACGACTCAAGCCAGGGAGCATCAATTGCTGGGATGACATGGAAAGTTTGTTCCTCAGCAATTTCTTCGATGATGACACCGAAGTGTCAATCGGTACCCTTTTGGATGAAAAGCAAAAAGACGGAGAGTCAGTCGACAATTTTGTCAAGCGCTTTCGTAACATGGCAATGAATTGCAGAGATCCTATCACGGAGGAGTTCATCCTGCAAACATGCCACAATAACATTTCCATCGATGTCCTGGAAGCTCTGGGGGTCGTGCCATCCACAACTTGGAAGGAGTTAAAATCTCGGGGTGAACAAGCTGAGCACTTTCTTAAAAGAAAGAAAGCTGAGAGAGGCCAACCAATGACATCTGCAATCGTTGAGAATGCGACTCTCGATCCGAGGTTTCAAAAGGAGTATTCTTTCGAAGATGATGAAGCTCCAGCCATATTGGAATACCTCCTCGCTAATGACAAAATCGAGCTACCACCTATTAAAGATCAGGATGGAGCTAAGAGGATTACTGATCCAAACTACTGTGCGTACCACAGAAGGGTTCTTCATCCCACCGAGATTTGCTTTGGACTCAAAAACAAGATCCAAGCCCTAATTGACTCCGGCGTCATAACGACGAAAGAAGTCGAGTAAGGACGACCATACAACTCCAATAGGTACACGAGTCTAAACTGTTTTCCCACACTCCAAAGAGTATATGAGTATAAACTGCTTCTCGATTATCCAACTGAGTACAATGTTAAACCCGGTTTCACAAAGGAAACTGGGGGTGGATGATTTATATAACGGGAAGTTCCTGGAGAATTTTATATTCTTAAGGATAACCCGAACATGTGAATGAGGATAACGTACTCCTCGTTACACCCAGTTTTGCAAAGAAAGCTGGGGGTGGATAATTCATGTAACGGAAAGTTTCCGGAAGAATGTTAAATGTAATATTCTTAGGGATAACCCCGATCATTTTGAATAAAGTGATAAACACTAAACTCCTACTATGACTTCCGAATACTCTTTTGCTGAGATGAGATTCGATCATCTCTTTAGAGCAATCTTCCCTCACAAAATTCCCCTTTTAGTCAAACCTTTAAACAGTTAAGACCAAAGCCAAAATCCCCTCTCGATTCCTTCCATGAATGAGAGGTCCACAAATTAAACGATCAAACCTTTAAACAGTTAGGATCGTCTCAAATTCCCATCTTGGTCAAACCTTTAAACAGTTAGGACAGGCTTGAATTTGACCCGATTTTTTATAGACCATTCTCGCACCGCAAAGATCAATGCTTCCTTGCTCTTGAATAGGTCCCCTTTTTTAAAAGTGAAGTCTTCAGGCCGTTGAAAGTTTGGACCAACATCAACAATTCAGCTTGCGAAGTATTTATCCAATCTTCATTATGAAACTCATCGGGCAACGGATCTTCAGCTTCCACATAATCATTGTTAACATTAAATTGATCCATCCAACGAGAATCATCATCGATTCCAACTGCCACATGCATGCTATCAATTTACACGTCTTCTTCTTCAATATCTTCTGAGTCATCATTTACTTCTTCTTCTACAATTGATCCGGCCGGTAGATCACCCGTAACATAGCCCGATGCGTCGTTAAATATAGTACTTGACGTCCCACCAAGAGAATGCCCACTTAAATGTTGTAGTTGACACCACGGCTCTTGACTTGGAGATGTCATAAAACCACTCGACTCATTGTCTAAGTCCATCATCCGAGAAAACTCTCCTTGTGGTCGTGAAACTTGGGCAAATTCTTAAATCGGATACTTCTCAATGAACAACTCAACTGACACTTGCTTCTCCACTAATTGTTTCATGTCATTCAATTCCTCATCGTCGGTAATCGCCACAGCAATAGTTCTACTCTCATTTATCGGACAATTGAAGAACACTTTAATTGCATACCATGCTTTATTAATTTTTGTAACTATGTGTATTTTATTCATCATTCCATCAAAATTTAATGACTTGGATAGCATAAACATTTTCCTAAAACCTCCCTCATATATCGGCATACTATTCAATCCGACGCCGAGGCTCCCATTGAAGAAGCAAATAATGGGTATAGAGTTTGCCATCGAAGCTGAAAATCAACAGTCCATCATATGTAAATAATCTATTATAACTGTAAATATTAATCTTAATTTAAAGTCAAATTTAAAACCCTAATCTCAACTACAAAGCAAATAATTGCTAAATTCCCTAATCCCAAATCACATTATTCATGTCTAAACCCTAATCATGTCTAAACCCTAATCTCAAATACATTCCCAAATTTCAACCTTAATCCCAAATCTCAACTAAATCCATTCCCAAATCTCAACCATAATTCCCAAATCTCAACCCAAATCCATTCCCAAATCCGAAATTTCATGGCTAATCAAAATTTAAAAAAAAATAAAACCACATTTACCTTGGTCGCCGGCGGTGGTCGGAACTTGGTCGGCGGCGGTGGTCGGAACTTGGTCGGCGGCGGCGGTGGTCGGGGGGCTCTTGATCGGCGGCGGCAGTGGTCGGCGTCGATGGGTTTGAGGAGCAGGTGAAAGAGGTGGGGTGAAAGGGTTTGGGTGAAAAAAAGTTCGGTCAAGAGGAAGAAACTCACGGGTTGGTTTTTACCCCCCGATCGCACGGGACTGCTAGTCCCGTGTTATTCGAAATTGCCACGAAATACACGGGACTAGCAGTCCCGTGTATGTCGTAAAAAATCTTCCGCAGCAAAACCGACCCTTTTCAGAAGAAAAGGGTCGGTTTTGCTATTTAAATTTCGATGAGGTCGGTTTTGCTATTTAAATTTCGTAATTGGTTAATTTTGAAAATTTGTCCTTCTCCAAATTTTTGGAAAAAAAAAAAGATTCTTCAAAATGGGGAAGTTGTTGGAGTTGATGTAAAAATTAGTTGGGGAATATGACTTTTGCTTCCCCATTTTGGAAAAAATTTTGGAGAAGCTGGGTGAGATGCCTTACACCAAACAGGCATCAAGTATTTGAAAGGGGCGATGAAGTGAGAGAATGAACAAAACAGAAAATTAAATACAAATCTGGAGTGAAGAATCCACATAATTTCCACGTCCCCACTTCATTTCACCTCCTCTCCCCTTTCCAACCCCCCCTACCAAACAAAGCCTTAAAAGAAAGATGGTAGACTGTTTGGTGTCATTGGTATATCGATAATCGTATTCAAAATAACAAACCTTTAATCTCCATCAAATATTGCACAAGATGTTAAATGATAAATAACCACAAAAGAAATAAAAACATATGGTAGAACTTGGTAACACAAAACATAATAAAGCACAAGTTGTAATATTCTTTGCACACTGTCAAAATTAAGTCATAGATAAGCATTTCCTCTCGGTCTACACTTGAGGAGGGTACTATAATTTTGTGGCGCATCTTTACCAAAACTAACACCCCGACTCAACGATTACAGGGGCTAAAATCATTGCTGAAGAAATCGAATCGGCGTCATCAACAACTTTCAGAGATCAGCTCTTCCTGGATATCTGGGGAAAGGAATAACATCTCTGATGTTATCGAGACCCGTAGCAAACAGAACCATTCGCTCGAACCCTAAACCAAAACCACTGTGCTTGACTGTTCCAAATCGCCGAAGATCAAGATACCATTCATATGGCTCAAGAGGCAACCCTGCTTCTTTTATCCTGCAAAATAAACATATAGAGGCAAAAGAATTTAAACATTAGACTGTACTAGATAACCGCATCAAAGTAATGCAAAGCCATACTAGATCGTATATGGGAGAGACGGTATAATTTTTTTTGATTGGACAGTTTGGACTCCATCAACAACGGATTATATTATACAAATTAAATAAAGAATGAATATGTAAATGCAATAATCTGGAAATAGTTATGGATTAATCTGGAAAATGAGCAAAGTCGAAAGTTGCTGAGAGCAGTAGACCACCTAGTAAGATAGTCAACAACACCAGTCTGCTTCCCCACTTTCTCCCCACGGGTTGCTTTACAAAGTTTAAATGGTTTTTACAGAAACAATCTGATACTTTAATATCTTGTGATACCATAAGAGAGGTGGGATTCCATAATGTTTTTGTTTCTACACTAAGCAGTCCTTAAGTTGGTTCCTCTTAAAAAGAGTTTCAGCTGATAAAAGTTAGATGGTCATGGGAAACAACAAATACAGACAGCCTATAGGGTTCACCTCAATCCCTCAATATGCATGTAGAAGAGATGCAACTTATCTGAAAGACTATGTACCTTGCTACAAGAACATCTAACCGCTCCTCTCTCTGGCTGCCTCCAATCAGCTCGCCGACCTGACATAAAAGTTAATAGTACTGAAATTAGATAAACTCCATGATGGAAGGTCTAATAGCTGACTTAAGGTCCGTGAGATAATGTTCCCAAGGAGATATTTGCATATAATGCATAGTATATCAGTAAAGAGCAAGGGTGATCCTACAAGTCAAAAGATATACATGTCATTAAATTATACCTTAGGTACAAGAACATCCATTGCTGCTACTGTCTTGTTATCATCATTGAGCCTCATATAAAATGCTTTTATTCCTTTTGGGTAGTTGTACACGATTACAGGCTTCTTGAAAATCACCTCAGTCAAATACCTTCATTGGAACAAAACATTACAAGACTGTACAAGGAAAATATTGGGAAAAAAATCTATGATTGAGGTTCACATACCTTTCATGCTCAGATGCTAAATCTATGCCCCACTCAACATTGTTCTCAAACTTCTTGTCTGTGACCTTCTGTAGAAGCTCAACAGCTTTCGTATAGGAAATTCGCTCAAATGGACTTGAGGAGACAAGCTTTAGACGGTCAATGGCTGTTTTATCGAAATTCTTTACCATGAATTCCATGTCTTCAAGACAATGATCAAGTAACCACTTACAGAGAAAGCGTACGTAATTCTCTGCATAGTTCATATCATCCTGCATTCAAAGAAATTTTAGTAACATTGGAAACAGCAAATTTTATCTGATACAGTCTGAATAAAAAATAATTTTTAGATTTTGTTTTCAGGAGTGAAAGCCGTGAACACTATCTTGTGGAAATGTTCAGTTTTGTTGCTCAACCATATTATAATACAATTACAATCTCTTAACAATTAATGCAGAAATCTTCAACAGATAAACTGTAAACTCAGATTAATTGTGAGATATACCTCCAAGTTGGCAAACGCAATCTCAGGCTCTACCATCCAAAATTCTGCTAAGTGTCGTGATGTGTGAGAATGTTCGGCTCTGAATGTAGGCCCAAATGTGTAGACATTGCCTAAGGCACATGCATAGGTCTCAACCTGAAGTTGACCAGATACAGTGAGAAAAGCTTGACGCCCAAAGAAATCCTGAGAGAAATCAGTCTTCCCATCCTTCTGAGGGATTCCACCCTTCAAATTGAATCTCTCTTCCAGCTTTGATAAGGTTTCCTTGGCCTTTGTAAGCTCAGCAACAGAAGCCATAATTTCTGCCTTGCTTGCTTTTGATGACTTTAGATCTTTAACTGTGTTTCCTTTCTCCTCGACAGCCTTTTTAGCAGCTTCGACGTCAGATTCTGAAGGTGGAGGATTTTTCTGTAACTCTATCTCCAATTTGTCTGCATCGCTAAAAAGTGTAGTCACCTGGAACATCTCGCCGGCGCCTTCACAATCACTAGTGGTGACTATTGGAGTATGAACATATCTAAATCCATTTTCTCTGAAAAACGTATGGGTTCCATAGGCTAGCTCGTCTCTAATACGTGCAACTGCAGATATCTGGAAATAAAAGACACATTATCTTATAAGCAATCTCACAGGCAGACATAAAGCAGCACCAGATAGTACAATACTCCAATGTGAACAGAATATAATAGAACAGAAATCTCATAAATATTGTGGCCACTGACACCTGTCTAATTAAAAGATCAGATTCTCAGCCCATGTCTCTTATACATCTCACGATGTTATATCTCCAAAACTGATAAAACTCACAAACTAATTTAATAATAACAACAGCGTTAAAGGCTACGTAGCATCAATATTCTTAGGGCATGGGTTTACTAAATTCTAGATAGCAGCAATGAGCATACTGTGAATCACACATTTTACAGATGAGCAACAGAAATGGAATTTAAAAGAAAAAAGGAATCAATCACCGTCTTTTATAAGAACTAAATAACGTAACACACTGACCATTAATGGTTCCTCCCTCCCTATCAGACATAAATCAGCTTATGCCACTTGAAACATCTAAAGCAGATTACATGACACAAAACTATAATTCCTCAATAAGGGTAAAAGTTATTAAAAAAACTGGATAGAAAGCAAACTATCTAAACAAAAGAATCTATACCTTAACATGCAGTTAGTATTCACATGAATCTAACATCACGGATAACCTATCAGACATATTTTCGTTTTATTTTCAAATTTCATTGCAATCATAACTCCCTGTTTAACAAATTCCTTACGAGACAAAAAAAAAACATCAGCTGAAAGCCTAAAACATACAAGTTTAATAGGTTCCACTTCAATTTCCGTGGGAAATAATACAAAATGATGCACATAAAATATGTCTGATACTGAAGAAAGTAAACTCAGTTCCTTCTTAGGAGATTCAATTAAAAGCAAATGTGCTATACTTTGCATACAGTAGAACTATGTAAGACCCAGGATAACGTGGTAAAGTCTTTAACTATCTGTATGATCTATAATTTATCCTGCCGAGATTTGTTTAGTAAAGAGGTTAGCGTATAATGAAATATGCCGGTATTGCATAACGAAAACTACATTCGCAGTAGCCATTCACCAGGTCGGTGTCTGGCTGGCTGAGAATTGTTTATATTACGATTAGGCATATTAGTAGCGACATAACAATATTGGCTTTACTTCGAAAAGCAATAAGATCAACATATTATAATAGCACCTAAATAACTATAATAATCAAGCATCTATTACTAATATATTCACCTAGACGATTAAATAGTAATATTCTTTTAAGTCTGGAGATTACTGGACTTTACGTAGTTCACTTACCAAATGGGCGGGCCGATATCAAATTTCTACATAAGCTTCCTCGTCCTAATGCTAATGAATAGCAAACATAACCACTTTCCTTTCTTAGGATATATCAAGCTCTACGGCATGTAGGATACGGATACCATAACTCATTTGAATACAGATATAAATAATATTGCCAGATCCATATCCGATTATCTAATTACATGTACCGAACGGACGATTTCAACTGTTTTGACCCCTACGCTACCGGGTCTGAAACAAGTTTTGGTGATCCAGATATTTAACCCAAACTTGATCTATATGTTTAGCGTTCAACTTTACCAGATATAGACGATGAAGATTCGTTATTTTAACTATATTCATATCAATTGTCAGCCAGCAGATACATACTAAAAAGCAATGAAATTTCTCTATACCGTGTTCGTTCGGGCACGAAGGTGCACGAAATCCCGAAGGAACTCCAGCGTGAGCCTCGTCTTCGGCAGCGGGTACTTCCCGGGATCAGTGGGCCCCACCTCGATCACCCTCTCGACCCTCATCTCCACGTTCTGCTTCGTCCCCTCCGGCGGCTTCTTCATCTCTCCCTCGACGAGCACGCAGGTCCCCGTCGGCGTCAGCTTCGAGAGCTCAGCGACGCTCGAATCGACGATGACCTGAAGGTTCGAGAGGCAAGACCCGTCGTTGAGTTCGAGGAAAGCGAAGGATCCCTTGCCCTGCTCGCGGCCGGTCTTGGACCAGCCGCCGACGGTGATGCTTTTGGCCGATGAGGCCGTCGGCGGAGGAGAGGATGGTGCGGATGAAGGTGCGGTTGAGGGAGGGATCGAGGACTGGATCGACGATGGAGCCCATCGGTTAGGTTTTGGGGGTTAGGGGCCTTTTTTGGGGGGATTTGGGGAGGGGGAGGGTGCTGGCGTCGGCGAGATTTTGGCTAGGGTTTCGCTGGTGGAAAGGATTGGAGTCCGAAATCTAGGTGGGGGGTGCGCTGTGCTGTTGTTCCTGCGGAGCAGGATAGGTATTCACAGGGTGGCGACCCTTGGTGCGGTCTGCTGTCGCTCATGCTTTGGAATTTGTATTAAGTGGGATTATGCTAAGGATGGCAGTTGGGTTGGGGCCGTTGGGCCAAGCCCAATCAAACTTTCAAGGAAATCTATTCAAACGGCTAAAATACCAGATTAGTCTAATAAGTAACACACTTTTACCGGTTTAGCTTATAAAGTTACGCCGGCGATAGTTTAACCTAAAAAGTAATAAATACGATGATAAATAGACATTTCCGGTGCAGGAGATAATTTTTAAGTTCAAAATTAAGTAATTTTTACATATAGACCCCCCTAATTGTATTTTCGAATTTATCTCCTCAAATTAAAAATATGTGAAGAAAACTTCTCTCTCTTCCCCGTCCCCTTCCACCCCCACCACCTCCTCTCACCTCCTTTCCACCATCTCCTCCATTCGTTTCTCATCCCGACCCTTAACCTCTCCTTCATCCCACTCTCTTTCTCCCTCCTTTTTCATATTGTCCGTACTCCTTTCTTTTTTCCCTCTTTCTCCTAATCCATATATTCTTAACTTTTTTCACTTCTCTCTCTTCTTTGTCCTCCTTTATCCTCCTTTCTCTGCACTCCTTCACTCCCTCCTAATGCTTCAAGTAGAATATTTTATGTTGGGATTGACAAAGGATGAGGAGGAGGAGGAGGAGGAGGAGGGGAGGCTGAGGATTGGGAGGAAAAGAAAATGAAGGAGATAGTGGAAAGGAGAAGTTAAGAATAAGCATGAGGAAGGACAGAGAAGGAGCAGGAGAGAGGAAGAAAAGTTAGGGTTCGGAGGAGAAGAGAATGGAAGAGATGGTGGAAAGGAGGAAGGAGAAGGAGGAAGGAAGAGATGGTGGAAAATGAATGTTCTTTTTACAAAATTTAGAAACTTTTTCGGCGATTAATTGGAAAAATATGATAGAATAGGGGGTAACAAATATCCAAGTAATATAAAAACTAATTTTATTCCTAATTTGGTGCGTATTTAATCCTGACGTATTTTCAAGTCTTGAGAGAAATTTTTTTAAGAAGTACAATGTCACATAGATCTCACATCATCATTTTATGAAGCAGCGAAAATATCTTTTATGGAGAAACAAACTTTTTTTTCCCGCTCAGAATTAGCAAAAATAGCCTCTACTTTGGCCTTAGAAGAAAGTGATGGCGATAAACATTTTTTTATTTTGATATTAGTCCCATTCTGATCAAGTTCCCTCTATTCTTATACGCTTTTTCAAATTAATTCTCCAAATTTCTATCCTTCTACTCTTGATTGGAGGGACCTTAGTTTCGGAAAGTGTTCTATTAGGCCGTTTAGATGAAAGGCTTCAAAAGTGTATTTAAATAGTAGAATAAAATAATAATAACACATTTACCTGTAGTTTTCACATTTCAACATTTCATGCAAAATAATAATAATATATAATAATAATAAATAAAATAATAAAATGCAGAGGATACATTTTTCCACTTTCATAAAAAGGAAAAAAAAATGTGGAACAAGCTCATAGAGTCAAATTGCATGAAACTTTGATTACAATAGAAATTTGCATAACATTGAAAAAATAATCCCCTCTTCCTCTTTATTACAACATTCTTCAACAACAATCTTTCAAAAAAAAAAAAAAAAAACAAACACCAAAATTAAAACTCAACCAACACCTAACAACAAAGAACTTCGACACACATTTGAACTCAGGACAGATAAACCGTGACAGACCCAGACCTAATGCACCTGCAAATATGACACGGCACCGGAGCAACCTCCTCATTGCACTCCTCACACAGACACAAATGCTTGCACGGCAAGATCACCACCGCCGCCCTCCTGTACTCGCACTCCCTACAAATGCCCTTCAGCCTCGCATCACACATCAACGACAGCATCGACTCCCCATCCTCAGAGTCCCCGCCCCCCTCCACGGTCATGTCTCTGAGCCTCGCTTTCAGGTTCTCGACGGTCTTATCCTGCTCTTTTGTCTTGGAAGTCAGCAGGGAGATTTCAGCCCTCAACTGTTTGATCGTGCTCTTGAGTTGCTTGACTTGGGCGTTCTTTCGAGCGAAGAACTTGTTCAGTTGGTTCTGGGCGGAGATTTCAAGGGCCTTGGCTTGTGTTCTCATGAAGTCCATGAATTTATTTTGCGCTTGCTGTTGGCGAAGAGCATGTTGGACTTTGGCCAAGGTCAAGTGCGTCGAACTTCTCTCTGCAGTCCAAGAAAACTAAAGATATCAGCAGGAAGGGAAAAGCCCTCGCGTTTACATGGAATTGTGGCTTGATCATTCGTCGCGTTGTAGAAATAGTTCTTTTTCTTTCAATAAATCTTTAAAAAAAAAGTTGTTAGTTTGTAGAGTACCTTCACTGGAGAGATTGGGGAGTAAAGCAAGTGGTGATGGCTGATGAGGATTGGGCTCCATGTTGTAAATAATCTCCTGGTTGTTTCTGCATGAAATCAATGAGTTTGGTTAAATTTTTTTAGTAAGAACGAATGGTAAGAATAATAATAATAATTAAATTGAAAGTTGAAAGTTTAAGATGGGTGCTTACCCATTTTGAGAATTAACAGCCATTGAACAAATTAACAACCAGGAGAGAGAGATAGAGAGAGGAGAGGGGGTAATTTGTGGGAAGTTAACCATTGAGCACTGTTTTTTTTTATAGGGAACAGAGAGTTGGGATTGAGATCAACGGTTGTGGCTTTTGAGAAAGGGCGGGCTAGTTGGTTACAAGAACCAAAAGGGTGCATACCTAACTGTTTTCTTAGTTGATGGTGTTCTCTTTATTTTTTTTAAAAAAATTTTAATATGTAAATATGTACATGTATTTGTTTTATTTGGCGGGAAAATGAATACCGTATTGACTTGATACTGAATCTTCTATTTACAACTTTACATTCGGTAAAATGTAATCAAAACCGAATCTCCATAGCGACCAAGTTGTTGACTACTAACTAGAGAAACATGAAAAAAACACTGACCCCGTTTGGCAAAGGGTTAATGAAAAGGGGTTAAAGAGAATGATTAATGTACTTAGCCAATATGATAATCCGAAGGACTAAATTATTAACCCGTTAAATAAGTTTTATTTTAGCCCTTATGATCAGTTTTAGTGTTTGGGAATAATAATGATTTTGACTATTTTCTTTATAATTAGAAGGGTTAACTCTTATTCTATCTAAATAGGAGTATTAGTAAACCCCTCATTTTGAGGGGTTAACTCATTTTAACCCATCTAGAGGGGTTGGAGTATTAGTAAACCCCTCATTTTGAGGGGTTAACTCATTTTAACCCATCTAGAGGGGTTAACTTAACTCTTCTATATTTTTTATGTTTGGCAAATTATGGAGGGTTAACTCCCTTTAACCTTTATATAGATTTGTTGTGTTTGGCAGGTTAAGAAGGGATTAAGTCTTCTTAACCCCTCACACTTAACCCTTTGCCAAACGGTACCTAAAAGAACACTGATAAATCATGTTGACTCAAAATTGTAATAAGAGGAATAAATTACAAGTATATCAAATGAACTTTTCCACAACCTTTAAAATTTCATTACACCGAGACGCGAAGTATTGAGAGATACATACATCATACATAATCAATCCAATTGTACATACAATACACACAAACGTCATGTTTATGTACAAACAAGTTTCTGACTTTTCTCCCCTGAGCCTTTTCTTCAAACAATTTACCAGGTACAAATTACATTGTAACTCCTAGCTTCCCATTGATTTGTAACTATAAACTTCGTCGTCTCTGGTTTCCTCGATGTTTTTACTCATCTCATTCTTTATGTCAGCTCATCACAGGTTACATTACCCCTTTACCTATAATCAGGATGGATAAGAGTATACAGATTAGAAAGAGAAGTCATGAAGGACATTAATGACATGATTCATTTAATAATATTGTGCTTTTATACTTTCCATTAATTAATGAGGAAAAAAATGCACATATAATATTCATCCACCTCAAAACATATGCGTAAACCTCTTGTGATCAAATCTTCAAGAGTTGACGGTATCCGGTGAAGTTCACAAAGATATTGTAAGATATTCACCTCCCTAAGGACATGCACAAGGTCTTTTTCTTAATCATATACATAAAGAGGCTCTTTACGTCACAACCTATGGTCTATCTCTGAAAAGATCTCACAGGTGACCCTCATGGATGTAGATCGTATAACAACTTAAGAAAATTCCCTTTAAATAAAAAAAACTACAATCAGTATGTCATACAGCTAGCACCAGAAACCAGCACAAAATGCCACTGAGGTAGGAAGGTTGAGAGATAATCACAAACACAATCAGATAAATCACTCAATATATCACATACTACATATGAATTGAAGATCCATTTGAGATTGATAAGGCCAAAGGTTGGAAGATTGCTACGATTTTGGGTGAGAAATATGAGTCATTTGAGGGGAGAGAGGGCTCAACAACCAAATCACTTTTCTCAGTTTGAGGAATATGGTGATCTGCTAGGTCATCAAATCAAACAAGTAAACGATAAACAGTCAATCATTAATCTACAAACATCAGCGGGAGTTATTAAGAATAAGGTTTTGTGCGGGCGAAGTCAAGGAATAACTACAATTTAACAAGGAAGTGCTGATTTAATTGTTTCACAGCTATGATAGTATATATTTCCTTTTATCAGTATGGGAAAGAACTGGCAACTCCAGTAAAGATAAAACAAACTTAAATAAATCAAAATACTAACTCAATTAACAAATACTAACTCAAATACCAAAATACTAGCTGATATCAAGTAACAGACGAGACTTGCCTGAATAAGCTGAGAGCTGTGGTGCCTGCATTGTATCTAAATCCTCCTGCAAGACATGAATCCTACTCGCTTGTTTCTCTTATCCTGATGTTTTATGGATGATACCCTTTTATATTTCCATTTTCTGAATCTTGCTCGGTTTTCCAACCAACTTGAGTAATCCTTTCCATTTTTGCACTCGATGAAATCGACCAAATCTTCAACGTTAGAATTGTTCTTATGATAGGGCGTTAAACACTCAAGGAAGATCTCCCCAGTGCAGGTATTGGCTTCATCATTTAACGTAGCATGCTTCTGCACACCATCAGTTTTCAGCTCCTTTGATGCATTTGACTCGTACATTGGGTCTGCCATCTCGGTGATCTCCCCACTGCCTAACCTGCAACAGATTTTCACTCAAGACGATTAGTAAAGGGTGAATGAAAGATAACAAAAAATTGCACATTAAATGGCTATATATGTCAAGAATAATTTGTTGATCTAGTTACATATGGCTTTCTGAATTCCCAAACCAAAATGTGTTGGTTTCAGCCAGCCTGTCAGATATTTTAAGCCCCAGATGCTGGTTTGTTTTCCTAAACACTGTCATGCTGTGAGTTCTTGTTGGCTTCCCTCAGAAACTGGTTCTCTAAGATATCCTACGGCTACAAGTAATAATATAATACCACAGTATTCACTAATAACATGCACATTTCCAGCTGCATAAGGAATTCCTATACCACAATAGCATGGAATTGTATATTAGATCTTTTGAGTATATGGTCATATGTCACACATCTGTAAGTCATCACGGACAACGCAAACACAGACTTACATATAATAACCACACCAATAGGATGCTTTGCAGGTAGGAACAAAGCAAAATACAATCAACACCTATGGTCATATAAGTTTACTAGAGTGAGGAAAGAACATTGAAGAAGAACTTCAGGTTGCAGATCTTGTAGGTGAACAATTTAAATTCTATAAGAACAAAGTATATGGGTGACTACTGTAAGAAAATAATTATTGATGTTTACTATATAAACTAAAACAAAATTCAAAATAGACACATACTCAAGGTATCAAAAGCTGCTGTTTGAAGTAAAGGTTGCCAAGGGAAGCTAATAAAAAAAGCATGAGTATATAAATAATTTAATAAAGAGATGCAGGATGTACCTATTGTTCTCATGCCGCAAGTGTTTGATCTGATCCCTTACTTTTTTTAGCTTCGAAGCAATAGCTATACTTGACGATTTATGACTTGAATCCTGTATAAAGTGCACTCTTTAGTTAATATGAAGACATAAAAGGGAAAAACTGAAGTCAATGTAAGATCACAACGCAATCCTATAAAGTAATGTAGTACCTTTAAGATTTCTGCCTGAGATGTCGGGCCTTTTTTATTGCATATCAATGGCCGAAATGCATCTAAATTCCCCTCTTCCAAAATTATAAGATTCATCAATGGAATCAACATAAAAATGCAGCCCTTCCACAAAAAATCAATCTTTTTACTGAAACTATATGATAATAAGCTTGCAAGATGTAAAAACATCTTCATGCTCTCTTTACCCGCTCCAGTAGTGATTTCCACTAGAAAAGATAAAATCTTCTCAATATGGGGGTCCACTCCACAGTTTCCAAAACATCTAATAATCCTGGATATAAAATCATATTCCTTGCAGTGTAAATTTTCTTTTGAAGTGTTGTCCATGGCACCAGCGTATCCATTTTGCTTCAAAAACCATACAATCTGCAAAGCTGATGAACTCATTAACTTTAATGCTGCAGCAATATAACATATCTCTTGCTGAATCATCTCCCCACCTTCATGTGACCATTCACTTTCTCCCGGAAGTATACTTTCAACTACGCAAGTTAGAATTGTACAGGCCTCATCCCTGAACATTTCGTCAATGAAATCTTGATTTCCTTTAATATAAGAAATAGCTTTGCTTAACATGTCTACTTTACTTTCAGAGTACAGTTGGTGTAAAGGCAGGTTCCAGAAATCAATGAACATGTCAATCTGCTGCTTGAGTTTACTGTTTGTCGATGGTTGGATAAAAGAACAGAATAATTGCCCCTTGATATAAACACTTGATTCGCTCTCATCTCTTGTATTATCAAAGAAATTTGGAAAGGGCATAAAACCCAAATATAGCTTGATAGATAGTTCAAATGCCAAGATGTAAAGATTCATATCTAGCGTATCCAAATTCTTCGTATCTGCAGGAACATGAATGCCTATGCATCTAGAAGCCAAAAGAATAAGATGTGCTTGGAGCAAAACAGGTGCAGAAGAAATGACTGGGTAACCCATTAACACTAAGACAGAAGCTAACCCTATTATAGGAACATGATTATCTACATCATAAGACCAAGATAGAGACATAATGAAACTATCAAAGGTCGATTCACTTTGAACTGACAGAAGAAAATGACTTGAAACTAGCTCCATAATGGCCTGAATATCACCATAGCAGTGAGAAAGAAACAACTTCTTTGCTGTAGCAGAAGCACAAGTTGTCATGATGAAATGTTTTAACAATTCATCATGCATCAAAAGCTCATCCAAAAATACCTGAAAGAAAAATGGACAAGGTGTCATGGAATCTGAAATACACATATATGCAAGTTAATGGTGGAGATACTTGTATAGAACATACACAGATCATTAAATATAGAATTGACCAGAACCTCTTGTTTCATATTTGTCCAATAACTATAACAGGTTTTTAATGAAATGAAAATAAGACCTCAGTAGATCTCTCATAGGAGAGGTTAGGTGCCGATAACCAGGTCTTGATAAGTAAAGATATCTAAGGAATAACTGATGAAGTTTGGCAGAATATGGTACTGTTAATGGTGTGTCCCATCCTATTTTAACAATGTTCATGAAGAAGATTGAGGTAGTCATTACCCCTGAAAGGATAACCCTCGTCCTATTATTAGTGGTATAAGTGATTGGGTTCAACTGCTTCTGACCTTGCACTCTATTGATTAGTGGCGTGCAACTATAATCTAGATAGAAGAAAAAGTTTAGAAAAAAGGTGTTTCCTAAAGTACTGTACTCAGCACAATGGAAAATTGTAAGCTATAACAATGGTCCCTCTTCAAATGCAACTACGCACTGAGAGATAAACTTCGTGAAATTCCCGCTGAGGCCTTTTCTAGAGTTTATAAGGAAACCAGCGAGAGCAAGAGGGATGAAGTGAAGAACATCTTGGATGAAGTGGATGCTTGTAACCCATTTAATGTAACAGTAACTGTGGAATCTGCTATGCATGAAAAATTCGGTTCTTCAAATGGGTCTCACAAGATGAAGTATAGATCACTAGTGTTCAATCTAAAGGACAGCAAGAACCCTGATTTTAGAAGAAGGGTTCTCCTTGGGCAGGCAAGTGATGAGAGGAAACTTGCAAATAAACAGATTAAAGAGGAGGCATTATTTGAATGTGAGAGAGGACAAGCTCCTAAGGTTACTACAGATCAGTTCAAGTGTGGTAGATGTGGGCAGAGAAAATGCACTTATAATCAGTTGCAGACTCGGTCAGCTGATGAACCGATGACAACTTTTGTGACTTGTGTAAACTGCAACAACCATTGGAAGTTCTGTTAGTTTAATATAGGCAGAATTGTTTCATTCAAATTGAGTGCTTCATTTAGTATTTAGTTTAGCCCCTTTGCTAGGTCATTCCGTTGTAACATGGTTTGAGCGTTTTATCACACGGACATCTTGAACTGCGGCAACTGCCCCTAATATAATCTGTCTTTTTATCTCAAAAAAAGGTCCCTCTTCAGCAATCTAACAACAAGGATGACTATCATTTATTTCTTATTTTTTTTATATCCCACACTCAATCACCCATGCAACACTAGCAAATGTGTTGGAAATTTATCAAATAATTAAGATTATAGCATGCAGATAAATCCGAAAAATTAAACAATTAAAAATTGACAGAAATTAAAGCAATTAATTACAACATTTAATTAAATTAACAGAACAAAAAAAAATGTGATGAACAGTAAAGAAATATTTTTCTCGGTGAACAGTAACATTTTTTTTTTTTGAAATTCAAAATCAGAATACAAAACTTAAAGCAGGAAATAAGCTCAAAGATATCATCAAATGAATTCTTTCACCACAGAAAGGTATAACTCATGCAAGAAAATTCAACATAGAATAAATAATTAAATAAGCAACAAATAATTAAAGTAATTAGCAGTTTTATGAACAGCAATATAGAATTTTTTGATGAACAGTAATTTCGGACTACTTCTTAATAACTATCTTATCAATCTTCTAGATTGTTGGGAATTTATCAAATAATTAAAAATTATAGCATGAAGTAAATCCGAAATTAAAATAAACAATTGGTATGAAATTCAGGCCTGAACGGGAGCAGTCGTGTATTCACTGCCCTAGAAGATTGAGAACCCGCCTATCGCCCTGGCGCAGATGGTTCCCTCCCCCCTAGCGGTAAAAAACCCCGGAAACGGCCGGCCTCTACACTCGGGCGAGAGTACAGAGCTTCAGCTCAGATGAAGGAAGTTGCCCATAAAATAAAACTAAAATGTAGATGAAAATAATATGTAGGGGAGAGAAAAAACAAGAGAAACTTGTTGTATATTTTCCTTATCATTTTTAGCTCAACATATGGATATATAAATAGGGTTGGAAAAGACGTTACAAAACCCGTAATTAATTCTGTAACGTTCGTCATAAATTTTGTAACGTTCCCCATAATTATATATCCGTTACACATATTTTAATTGCATGTTTTAATTACAATATTTATTATAATTCATGAAGGCAAAATTGCCTTTTGTTAACAAAATATCTAACAGGTTATATAGTAAAATACCCGGATTCATATCCAAAATATTCAAATATACTGGTCAAAATGTTGCAACAATTTTTTTCCTTAATGAAATTGTGGTTAATCTTGATGATCAAGATATCTAGTCTTAGTTTTTCAAATGTAATGAACATTTAATGAACTCTCTTGTACCATATAAACTTTTTTTTAATATTATCTAATTTCTCATATCTGTTTTATATCCAATTTTATATCCACATGTATATTTGTATCGGTATTTGATTTTAGCGGATATCGATATGAACCCTTACCAAGGCATATATGTATCAGCATATTATATCTGTCTCCGTTATGGTAAGTTGATACAAATATAATAAGTATCATATAAAAGCTATATTCGAACCGTATACACCACCAATTATTATCTATTTTTAATTAAGAGTGTTTGGCAAATGAGTGGATACATAGCTCTTTTCAAAATAACCAAAAAGGGCATAGGATTAGTGGTAATTTATTAAATAAGATCTTGGATTTTTATGAAATAGAAAAGGGTATAATTGTCATTGCATGGTCAAACCTCATGGCTTATAATCAATCAAAAAATAAGCTAAAATATCCTAGCTTATCTTTTGACGGATTATAAGCCAAAACAAACAACTGGTTAAACATCTCAACGTTGTTTAACTACTCTAACTATTTGTCAAACATGCACTTAGTGCAAAAATCCAGTACACATTTTACAGATGTAAAGCTAATATTTAATTATATCTTTGTGGAAAATATTAAATTACCAAATCCAGAGTGAGATGCCAAAATAGACACCACTCTATGGTCATCACATCAACGTGAAGCTTCTACCAGTGACATCTAGAGAGCAAAGTCGAGGAAAATAACTCTTCACGACACAGAAAGAGCCAGAAACATAAACTGCAATATTATATTCTACTTAATTATTATCTGAAAATAAATATATATATATATATATATATACTCAATCAAAGATGCATAAATACTAAAATATCAACACTAAGGAGACCGTCCAAATTTAAATCGGTTGCCTACAAATGAGACCTTCCAAATTTAAATTGGTTGTCTACTAAGGAGACCTTCCAAATTTATGTTGCCATTTTCTTGTACCACCTCTTATACAAATAATAATAATAATAATAATAATAATAATTGTACATACGTGCTTTAAATTTTTCAAGTGCATTCTTGCATAAAACCTTGCAATTAATCATGTAACAAATGCAAGTTATCCAAAAAACATATGAACATTTATTGCAATATCCATCATAATGCAATAAAAGAGATGGACTTTACATTTGAAGATTTGAACAATATCCATCATAATGCAATAAAAAGAGATGAACTTTACATATGAAGCGCTCATATATTGATCATTTATCATTAGGCAATATATGATGCAAGAAGCGTAATTAAATAAATGCATATGAATTATTCTCATAATTCCGGTCCTCTTATTCCAAAAACTCCTAAAGTGAAAAGATTAAAGTTTTACCCGGGTAGTTAGCCAGGTAAGGATAGTAATAGAGGTTGATCAAAGATTAATTAAGTACCTCGTTTCTTGCAGAGCGCGTTACGCAACCCTTAAACCTTGCCTTAGACACCAACTAATCCAAGAAAACTTGAATCGGTTCACTCAATGAGTTTTTGTTCCTTAACAGTATATAGAAACTTTAAATTATTTTCTGTAATCATTTAAAATGCCTAGCAATTATACTGCAAACATATGATGGATAAGGCCAAGGAGGGGTTTACCTATTGATGTTCGAACCTCATGATTTTCATGTCTTGAGAGTAAAAACTCATCTGCTGCAGATAACTGCCACTTAAGTTACTGAACAAATTTGCATTCACTTTTACCACCTTCTGTACTAAGCTTATTAGATGCATAAATACACTGAAGTATGGAATTATTAATAGAATACACCATATTATTGATAGCTTAAAGAAATAATAGTATTAAACCATGAACAAATCCAGATATTTCAAAGCATCTATGCATCCAGAGTTTGTTCTCTTTAATTCTTGTCAAAACCATGCATATAAAATTTTTAAGAATAAAAATATACACTGCTACAAATTTATAGCATGTTTCAAATGCGTGCATATTCACTAGCACAAGGGAATAATGGTAGGTTTTAGAAACAAATTTATAGCATGTTTCAAATGCGTGCATATTCACTAGCACAAGGGAATAATGGTAGGTTTTAGAAACCAAATTTTCATAGAACAGTAATTGTATTTTTAAATTAACAATAACGTTTTTTTTAATAAATAAATGAACAGTAACATCCTTTAAAAAATGAACAGTAACGTTCATTAAAACGAATGAACAGTAACATCATTTTTTAAAGATGAACAGTAACACCATTTTTTTAAAAATAAACAGTAACGTTCATTAAAATAAATGAACGGTAAAGTTTTTTTAAAACATTAAAAATTGTTTTAAATGAACAGTAATGGTTTTTTAAATAAAATTAAAAACTGTTTTTTAATGAACAGTACAATCTTTATTTTTGGAATGAACAGTAACAGTTACAATTTTTTTTTCAAATTTTATAACATCAAATCAATAATACTAATAGATAAACAAATATATAATTAAAGCAATTACATTTTCTTTGTGTTAACAACAACTATAAAATTCCTCTTGTTTTTTTTTATTTTTTTTTTAAACAGTAACAAATTTTTTTTTTAACAAAAAGTTAATTAATAGATAAGCAATTTTCTTTCTGTTTTTTTTAATTCGGATGAACAATAACCATCTCGAATGAACAGTAACTTTAAAATAATTTCAGATTTAAATCAAAGCTATAAACTTCCCAATCTTCTAGATTGTTGGAAATTTATCAAATAATTAAGATTATAGCATGCAGATAAATCCGAAAAATTAAACAATTAAAACTGGCCTGAACGGGAGCAGTCGTGTATTCACTGTCCTAGAAGATTGAGAACCCGCCTATCGCCCTGGCGCAGATGGTTCCCTCTCCTCTAGCGGTAAAAACCCCCGGAAACGGCCGACCTCTACACTCGGGCGAGAGTACAAAGCTTCAGCTCAGATGAAGGAAGTTGCCCATAAAATAAAACTAAAATGTAGATGAAAATAATATGTAGGGGAGAGAAGAAAAACAAGAGAAACTTGTTGTATATTTTCCTTATTATTTTGAGCTCAACATATGGATATATATATATAGGGTTGGAAAAGACGTTACAAAACCCGTAATTAATTCTGTAACGTTCGTCATAAATTTTGTAACGTTCCCCATAATTATATATCCGTTACACATATTTTAATTGCATGTTTTAATTATAATATTTATTATAATTCATAAAGGCAAAATTGCCTTTTGTTAACAAAATATCTAACAAAATGGCCATGTAAAATCACTAGATTTGATCTTTACTATATACATACAGATAAAAAGGACAAAAAGAATGTTGTTTACCTATTGAATACATGGCTAGGGAATGTACTTCTAACATATGTTGCATTTATGCAATACCATCTCATGTCATACCATTTTATACTGCTATCAGTCACTGAAAGAATCAAATTTCATTACCTCACTATTGTCTTTCCTAATTATACCAGTTGTCGCCAAGTTGCCCTCTAAGATATAAAATTCACCCATTGCAATGCTTATATTGTTCTTCTAGAGATGTTCTCAATCACTATGTACTGACAACTCTTTTGCACACAAACATTACGTTAATAAGGTAGCAGTCTTGCAGAACTCAATGCACATGCAACCTGCCTAATAAATATGCTAATTCAAATCACTAGTTATGCCAAGAAATTACGCCAACAAGAACAAGTTCCCATTTATGGCATTTGCTTAGAACAAAAAGATTCTATTTTTCTTTGCCTCTATTTGCATGACATTTCCACCAGAAACATGGTTATGAAGAATGAGTGGCGTTAAATTCTCCAGAGTCACCGTGAGTATAGGAGAAGAGAAATTAGTTGATATACTTCTCAAGCGCTCATGCCAGTTAGCGCTTGGATAAGGAAGATCTAACTTTTCTATGCCTCAATTTGAAGTTTTTCAAGAAAATTATACTTGTAGAAAATTGAGTTAATTTACACTTCCCGAAGTTACCTCAAGTATAGAAGAAGAGAAACTACTCGATATACCACCTTCTGGAGTTATAGCATCAACATGACATGCAGATTCATTAGTAAACTGCAATGGTGAAAATATAGGACATAACTTCCCAAGAACCGCAACCAAAATCCGACATCTTTCCAGAACAAGCATGAGGTCAAGCTCGAGAAACCGCATGAGGATCATAGAACACCTCAACAACAGTAGAAAGTCATCTTGGGATAATTTCGAATCTGAAGTTAAACGGCCATTTTCATCTAAAGCCGCTACACGAGAGATGTTGCTCGTACCAGAGAGTAATTGTTCAGATTGTTTGTGCAGCTCCTCGAAAACCAGATTAGAGAGATCAATAATGTCAGCAAAACTAATCATGGGTTTCCCAACTCCATGTCCATCTTGGTTCAAAAACTCAAAAGGAGACACTTTTACCAAAAGATCGTGCAAATTTTTCAAAGGTGGGACCGTCGAGACCTGAAAGATTCATAGAATATCACCAACTAAAACCCTATCCAAAAATAAAACAAGAGTTGGCAAAAAAAATTCAAATTTTGAAGAAATAAGAAATTACCTTGACATTGGAGAAAGCAGAATCTCCCAGTTTCAGCTTCTTCTTCCGTCTCCCCATAATCTTCGATGCCAAGCTCGGAAAAGCCCTAATTGAAACGGGAACTGTAGACAAGAAGAAACCCTAGAAAGCTAGAATCAATCTCTTTTGCAATTCGAAAGCCAGCGACGGTGAATTCTGGCCGTCTGATAATCCAGAGAGCGGATAAAATTGGGAAATTGGATTAAAAAGCGACGAATTTGGAGTAGAAAATGAGGAGGCGAAGAAGCTACCGCTCTTTTTCGGGGGGAAAAAGGGAAATTTATTTCAAATGGGAAATGTTTTAGTTTTCCCACCAGCTTCTCACCATTTTTGTTTCGACCTCCGCGTCTAACATGTGGATTTTTTAAATAAATTCATAAAGATTAAGGATAAATTTAAGTATTAATTAGAATTTATGATACATAATCACAATGCATTAATAGCATCCCACACTCTAAATTATGGTGTAATTATATGTGTGATCACAACGTCTGCGTGTCTAGACTGTAAATGCACTTATAATCATAAAATTTTAATGACGTGTTTTTTTACTAATTCGAAGCTATAGTTTTATAAGATTAAGAAAAATGTTTTAGTTAGGATTTGATCATTATTATAATCATAGTGATAAACTTAATATATAATAAAATTTTACTATAACTTTTATTCACAATTCTAATTCTAGTCCTAATCCTGAATCCCAACCCTACACAATATCCATCAAAACTTGGAAGACAACGAAACATGCCGTCAAAACTCCATGTTTGAGGGCATTGGTAAAATTATCTAGGATTGAGAGGGCGTATATGAAAAAACACCCCGAAAAGCCCAAAATCCCTCCAAACTCCAAACCCTCAAAAAAATTAGAGGGAAAAAGAAAAGAGAGAGTCTCTCTCTCTCGATCGAGCTTTGAGCTCACTCAGCAATGGCGAGGGTTAAGCAGAAAGTTCAGCCATCCAAGAGACGCCTCGATTTAGACGGCGCTGATGCAGTTCCCACAACCGGTGCGCTCTCTCTCTCTTCCTCCCATCCCCCCCCCTCTCTCTCTAACTCACAAAACCCTAATTTCTCTCTCTAACACCTCCAACAGCTCAGCTGAACACCGCAGCGTCGAATCCTCGCTCGGCGAAATCGAGACCAGCTCCTAGGTCTAAAGGTCTGATTTTTATAAATCCCCCCTATTTATTATTATTGTTTTCGAATTGGCCCATTTATGTGGTTTTTTTTGTTAATGCAGGAGGACCGAGGGCTGGAGAGAAGAGGAAGTTTAGGTACAGGCCGGGGACGGTGGCGCTTCGAGAGATTCGGAAGTTGCAGAAGTCTGTGGATTTGCTCATACCGTCCGCCCCCTTCATCAGACTAGTATGTTGTTCACTATTATGTTTAGATGTTTATGTGAGTGTCGTGATGTTGTAGGTAAATGCGTAATTTTCTTACGGGGGTTGTGATGGTTGGTTTGTTGGTGATGATAGGTGAGAGAGGAGACGGCGTTTGCCTCTTCGACAGTTAATCGGTGGACTGCCGAGGCTTTAGTGGCCATTCAAGAGGTACCCGTGACTTGAATATGTCCTTGTACTTGCTAGTTCAAGGTTTGGTGTCGTATTGTTGCTATAAGTAGTTAGTATATGAATCATAATCTTCTGTTTGGTTATATTATAAGTCATTTCCTCTGTTAAGTTAAATTTTATCATATACTTCTGAACTGCTTCCAATCAGGTTCTTTTAGGTCTACCTCTTGTTGTCTTTGCCCCGGTAAATATAAGTTCATGTGTCAAGGATGAAAACAGAGAAGAAGCTATGATATTTACATTATGATTTCTGAATAGTTGATTATTGATAATTGAAGTTTTCTTCCTTAAATTTGTTTGGCATGAGTTGATCTTGTCAGTCAATAGCAAAGTAGCACACGATGTGCTCTAGCAATTGGCTGCATTTTTGGACTAACTAAAGAACTTGACTGACCATTCTAATGTAAGCAGACTAGGCCTATTTTGTTAGTGGTATAAACCAAGCTATATAACTGGCTAACCAAACTTGCCATTTATGGATGGAAAGCATGACTTATCATCTCTATAATAGGGTTATATATGGGTATAATGAATGTTAGAAATTCTGAATGAACTACCATATATCTATTATTACTATATTATCTTAAACTTTACATTTCACATATAGTACTAACTTAAGAAAAATGAAATGAACTTAGGGCTATGGATATCTATAAGTTTCTAAGGTTATGATGTAGGTCTAGATATCTGAACTAATCTGTGACCAGGATCAAACAACGACAATCTTCCAGTTTATATAGGCGACCATAGGTCAAGTTACATAGAAATGCCTACTTGCTTGAGCTTTAGTACACTATTCTGAAAGATGAGTGTAGAGAAGAGAGCTTATTGTTACAATTGGTTGCATAACTGATTATTGACAGCAGAAACATCCTCTAAATATTATTGAGAAGCAAGCTTAATGACCTGAGTAGTTGACGTTAGGTGGAGTCCTGTTAGTCAACAAGAAAGCAGCACTTATATGGCCAACGCAACGGGTTGCAGTTTTTGCCTTCACTTATGAAACTAACCGAGCCTTCTTTAGAAAGTAATAAAGAATCTGGCTTCATTTGCTGCCTTCTGGTTGTGATTCAGGACCTCAATTAATGGATTTGCCGCTTTTTTTTTAAAGCTTTAGAGTGTTTATGAAAAAATTGATATTGTTAGGCTTCCTTGAAGAACTCGGTTTTACTGGGGCATCTCTCTTTTTAAGTTGACTTGTCTGTATTTGGAGCTTTCACCATGGATGCCACAATTTGCATTATTTCAAAGTTTGCTGAAATTCCTACTATTAACATGTAACATGAATTTTTTTTATAGTACACATGCAACAAAATGCATCCTGTCTAATAATTGTGAAAAACATGTTCTATGATGATCTAGGATTCATTTTTCTTCTTCAGGAAGCTGTAGTTGTATGAGTCAGAAATTCTGTGAATTATTATCCTTTTGCATTTTGCTTCACTCGATTAGAATTTCGAGATATTGTGAAATTCAATTTTGTGAGTTGGGTGACTTCCTGCTATTCTGTTGAGTGACTTCCTGCTATTCTGTTTCTTCTGTCTAAAGTGATAGTATCACTATATCAGGTCAGTACAATTTTGGCGATGTCATTCATAATAAATTATGTGATTTTGCATGACTACAAGTCTACAAGTCCCTAACTGATATTAGATGCACAGTTTGAAAATGCTTACAAATAATAGAAGATAATTGCTTGGATCGTGGTTTTGTTTGACATATTTTTCTTTTTTCCCCCCATATTGTACATTACAGGTGGTGCATATAACAAGTAGGAAAGTAATTTAAATTGTAGAATTCTTTGAAATGATTCATGTACAAATTAAAGAAGTTTATGTCTAAGGAGTAAGGGCGGCCCAGTAGGTCACATGGCAAAGCTGTGTCGCTCCCTCGTGGGGGGCGTGAGTTCGATTCTCGTGTGCGCCAAAGGCACAATTAAAAAAAAAGTTTCTCTCTAAAAAGAGAACTGTTAAAATAATCAGTACAGATGCTTAGGGTGTGCCACATTTGTCTATTGTGAACAAATCACTTCGGCATTAATTAAACCAGGTAATTTGGTTTTTTTAGGGTGTTT